GCCTGATATTAGAGTTTTCCATGAGATAGATGGAGCCCTTTCCTGCTCATCATCTGAATCCCAGTCATACTGAATGACTCCTGAGTCCCTGTGCATGCTCTGCCCTCACCCACCCCACTGCCCTTACTTATGCTGTGTACTCTGCATGCGATGTCTTTCTCTGTATGCTGGACATGTTCTGCTTGCCCCTCCAGATCCACTCCCTACCCTTCTCCACCCTGCTCTGTGCTGGGGGAGGCTAGCCTCTATGAGTGGCATCAACAGGTTCCTTTGCCTTCTGACTTCCAATTTGGTTCACCCCATGGGAAGCACTAGCAGGATGCTGGAAGGCAGCAGTAAGTGATAACATGGGATTTACTCTCCTGGCTGGCCAGCTGGCTGTCGGTTGGCTGCTTCCCTTTACTGAGAGCCACAGCTCCTGCCAGCAAGCCCTCTCCACACAGCCACTCTCTGTGGATTCCATAACCACTCCATCCTCTTACCCCTACAGGTCCAGGGTGGAAATGGATCCCCACTTTTGCTGACTCTGGAATATACCATCACCTTGTTGGTTATCTTAAACCCTGCTGCACCATTGTAAACAGGCCCTCCTTCAACTCTCCTCAATTATTCTGTTTGAATGTGCCATCTGTTTCTTGCCAGACCCCTGATATAGTCTGCCTCTCCATCTGCCAAAGTGCCTCACTCAATCTTACCTCCTGCAGAAGACTTGCCTTGTTTTCCACTGTGTGCCTCGAAAACCACAGACCAGAGTTTCTTATGTTTGTATGTGACTCTCCCACTAAAGTGGAAGCCCCTCAATGGCAGAATGTGCCCAGTTCACTGCAGCACTCTCAGTGCATAACAGAGAGGCTGGTAGAATGTAGATGTCCAATAAATGCCTATTGAATAAAATATAAATAGTAGCCACGTGGTTGCCTAAAATGACCTGGAATAAGATAAGCAAAAAGTTGAGCTTTGTGATACTCCACTCCAAGGCCATTCAGGCCATCTTCTCCTTCAGTGCTGTAGTCTCTGCTACAGTCTCCCTGTGCATGGTCATCAGTACTGGCTTGTATGCCTCAGGGGCCAGGGAGCTCACTCACCCCCAGGGAAGCTCTCCCCTGGAAGGACAATTCTGACTGGACACTAGGGCATCTGTTACTCAGCTCAGAGCTGCCTTCTGTAATTGCAACACTCTGGTCCCTGCCGCAGCTTGGAAACCATGTAGAATCCCATTTCCCCAGCACAGGCCTTCCGAGACTTTAAAACAATGTCCGTGGCCCTGGGAGATCTTCCTTGTCCAGGCCAAACAACTTCAAATAGCTTTACAAGACACAGCTTCCAGCCCCCTCACTGTCCCTGTCCCCTACTTTGTATGCATCCTAAGTTGCCCACATCCTTATTATTTCCTCTTAATAAGGAAAACCTACCGCCAATGTAGCACTAATAGTTCTGAAGTGGCTCATGGAAACCCAAGGCTATTAACCAATTCTCTTCCAAACTCAGTCACTTAACACTTTGCAATCCTAAGCTCCTGAGGATAGTTGTGAAGAAGGCAGTGAGGACAGGTACAAGGTGGCAGGTGTCTGTGGTTGACAAGGACGTAAGGGTAGCAATGGGAAGCTGGTCCATGCAGAAAACTGGGGTGAGAAACCTGGAGCTCTCTCCCCACTTGACCATCAACAGACTGTGTGAGCTGCGGCCTCAGTTTTCCTCTTTGAGGGATAAAGGGGTTAGACACCATAATCTCTGAGGATGTTTCCAGGTCTGACAATTTACACCATTTTGATGTCTTCTGCAACCCCTCTGCTGAGATTGGGTATTTTCCTACATGGTGTGCATTCCTGAGAACATAGACTAAGAGGCCCAAGAACTATTAGGTAAAGAATAAACATTTAAATGTGTTAAAGAAACACTACATCGCCGATGTCAATGTGCCCAGCTGCGTTACTGGTGGGCCTTCTTTTATTCAAGGGAGCTGCTGTATAAATTATGGGAATTATGAATTTCATTCAGTGCTACTCAAAGTAGGCAGTCCATGAACTGATTCTTACTAGTCCATGACAAGGTAAGTATAGAAAGTGAAAGTAGAAACTTTTGTGGCAGCCTCACACTGCTGCACCCCACTTGAGGCACTTCATTTTTCTATTAATTCATTTTTATTACATATTACAAAGGTATTGTTTTCGAATGTATAAGAAAAAAATAAAACAAAATCCCTCTTTTATCATAGATAGCTTGCGAAGCAGTAATTTAAATGTTGTCTTTACTCCTTAAAAATACAGAAGGTGGGGAGGGAGGACAGACAGAAGGAAGAAAGGAAGGAACGAAGGAAAAAAGGAGAGAGGGAGAGGAAGGGTGGAAGGAAGAAGGGGAGGGAAGAGGAAGGAAGGAATGAAAGAAAGAAAAAAGAGCCCTAGGTGAGAATTAAGTCCAGCTATTCATTAAAAATCACCTAGATAACGTCAATCTAATTTTCACGCTTCTGTTATAGGGGTCTTCCTTTCTTCCTTCCTCTCCCCTCTCCTCTTGCCCCTTTCCTACCCCTTCCCCTTCTCCGTTCCCTTCCTCCCTCCCTCTCTCTCTTTTTGTTTAAAGTCACAAAGGGAATACTTCTCCGCAAACTTCTACAGGTTTCTTTCTGTGCAAAGCAGAGCCAATTTGGCCAGAACCCAGTAACCCCACCCCATCAGGAGACAGCACATTGTCTGGCGGGGCTCACCCGGGCACACAGCTTTCCCAGCCAGCAAACAAACAGGCCCTGACGTGAGTGGTCAGAGCACTGGCACATGGCAGCTCACAGAAATTCTGGGCATAGCAGTCCCGTGATTTAGAAAAGACACGGCCATCGGAGCCTGCCGGCATTGTCTGCTGATGGTGAGGGATCTGGGACCTGCGGCCTCATGGTCCCTCCACACCAGCACAGTGCTCAGAAAGGCCAGTTTCCCTGGGTCCTGACACCTTCATCCTCAGCAGTTTTCTCCCAAGGCTTTAGGAAAGTGACCTTGCCTGTCACCATGGTATTTAATTATGCCTCTTTTAATTCTTTGGGCTTAAAATATCCCCCTTCAGTGGGAATTTCAGAGTCAGCAGACCTGGGTTCAGATCCAAGCTTTCTATTTATTAGCTGGGTGACCTTGGGTAAGTCCCTTTGCCTTTCTGAACCATGGGTTTCCTTCAGGAAAAAGGTAAGGGTACCCACCATCCTAGCACTTGGCAGGTGCTGAATAAACATTTGTTGCATGAATGAATGAACGAACGAATGGATGAATGGATGAATGACTCCTAGGTATGCACAGTCCTGCCCCTTTCCCACCCTTATTCTGCTTGGGCACACAGTTCCCTTCTGGAAGTCTAGCTCAGTGGAGCACCCACTGCACTGATCTCAGAGGACTTGCATTTGTGATTTAGCCTAATGACTTCTCTGGCACATGACCTTGGCCAAGTCATTTCACTCTCTAAGGTTCTCTATTTCCCCACCTGTCAAATGCAAAAGTTAACCCCTGGATTGCCTCCCTTGCCAAGTTCTGGCAAGGCCCCAATGAGAGCACAGATGAAAGTGCATGGTGACCTGGAAGGGACGGCTGCACACCAGGGCTTCTTCTCACATGGTCTGCTCATGTCTCTGAGCCAAGGTGAGAGTCCAGGGGCCAGGCTGGTGCCAGGAGGCTGAGCTGACGTGCATTCTGGCTTGCTGCCAGGCATGACATTCTCCTGCCAGCATCGTCATTCCTTTGCACATAGGTATTTTGTCTGTGTATGGGAGGCCCTTGCTCTTTTGAGAGACACAAAGAGAAAAGTCAGCAGAAAACCTGCAGAGGTCGGCAAATGTGCTCGAGCCATCAGCAAGTCCAGGGTCCTGCATGTTGAACAGAACAGAAAAGCCCAGCAAGAATCTGGAAAATACAGGAGAGTGGATGCTGACTGCCTCTCTGACTTAGAACTAGTTCCTCCAGGTCTCCTACCCAACAAAGGTCATCCATGGGTTCACCTTTAGGGTTCCCTCCAGGGTTGCTAGTTACAGATGAAAGCCCATGACAGGCTAAGTAAGGTATTAGACAGAGAGCCCCTGTTTCATCCTCTTTTCAGCAGTATATACAGTTCTTTCTGCTTGGTGTGCCCTCCCTTCTCCCCAACCCAATCTCTGATGTCCAGATTATATCTATTCTTGATGACCTAGCTCAAATGCCACCTCTTTCAAAGAAGCCTCCCCTGATATATTCAAGCTGTGAGTCAACCTCTTCTCTCTGCTTTCCTGTAGCATGCCTTAAATAGAGCACCCTCTACCTTTCATTATACAAGTAATGACAAATAACGCTGACTGAGAGTTAATTTTGTGCTGGCAACCGTGAGAGACTGTGCTGTATACGCCCCTCTCAAACAATCCTCACAGTAACTCAGCCAAGTAGGTACCATTACTGTTCTTATTTTTACAGATGAGAAAAGTGAGGTTCCGAGAGGTCACAAAGCAAGGAAGTAGCAGAGCTGGGATCTGAACCTAGGCTGTCTGACCTCAGTGCTCATTCCCTACCAGTGCTTTCCAATAGAACGTTCAGCGATGAAGGAAATGTTCAATGTTCTATACTTCATTGTCCAATATAGTAGCTCCTAGCCCCATGTGGCTATTGAGCCCTTGAAATACGCTAGTGTGACTCAGCAACTGAACTTTGAATTTTATTTATTTTTAACTAATTTAAATAGTCACTGTACCTTACTGTACTGCATATGTTATGACAGTTATTTGTGTTCAATTCATGCCACCCTCTCTAGAGTTTGAGCTCAGGGTTCTGAGCCTTCCTCCTTAGCCCATAGTAGTACTCAACAGATATTTTTGTAATGAATCTTGCTTGCATATAGTCCCCGTGATTACTTGAGTAATAGACTTGTCTCTGTCACTAAGCTCCTGTGTGAACTGGAAAATCCCTTTGACTGCTATGGGCCTCAGTTGCTTTGCTTATAAAATGGGGGACATCAAGGTCAGCCCTCAACTGGACATTGTCTTCCCACTAGGGTCTTACCTGTGTGGAGAGTCAGGATCAAAGCAAGTCATGGTGACATCGGTGATGTTGGGGTCACAGCACTCGCCGCCATCAAAGTTGAACCGCTCATAGTTGCAGTCCATGTCACACACCCCATTCTGTCGCTTCTTCATGAAAGCCGGGTAGCGCAGATGGAGGCAGTCCCCGCCATCATGGCCGGTCAGCGTGTGGTTGCACTCCGGGTCGCAGTGATCATCCCCGATCTTGCTGATGTCACAGTTGGCCAGGACGAGGCGGCGGCGGAGGGAGGTGTTGCTGACCTTCAGCTCCTCCAGCTCCCAAGAGATGTTGTAGAGCTTGAAGGCCTCGGCCAGCTGCTGGTGCTGAAAGTCGATCTGCTGGCGGCTCACCATCGGGTTCTCCTGGTCATCGTCGTGGAGGTTGACCACGCGATAGCGCACCATCTTGGGCCGGCGGAAATGTGGGAGCTGGTTGTAGCTCGCAATGACCTCTGTGTTGTCACACAAGGTCTGCCCACACAGAGGGGGTTCCAAACTCGTGTCCAGCAGGAAGCCGTGGGCAGTGCTGAGCTCCGCTTGGGGGATGATGCCGTCCTTCATGGAGGACCAGGTTCGATTCACATTGTCCCAGTTCTCCTGGAGGAGGAGCTGAGGTAGAGGAGTGTGGAGGCTATGAGTTTCCATGTCGGACAGTATCTCCCGCTGAGTCCTGGCCACCTTCCAGAGACTGAAGTGCTCGATGTAGCCTCGGTAGTTGTGATTCAGAGCATCGCCCCCCAGCATGAGCACTTTACAGTTCTGAGTCAGCGGGCTGAAGATGCTGCCCACTTGCCCCCCAGATGTCGCCACTTGGGCACCGTTCACATAGAGCTTCATCAGCTGCCCATCATAGGTGGCAGCTAGGTACACCCATTGACCTGGGAGGTAGCTGCGGTGGGCATTGATGGTGGTCACCTGCCGGGCCCGGTCAGTCTTCAAGGAGAAAAAGTAGCGCGGGTCTCTGTTGCCTTGGTCACTGACGGTGTGAATGCCCACGACCCATCCTCGGTCACGTGAGATATAAGAACATTTGTCATACAGCCCTATGTGGCCCCAAAAGAGAAAGATGAATAAATAAAGGATGGAAGATGAGGGGGGTAAGTATTCTTCTCCGACAACAATTATATCAAGAATTTTCTAGATCAGTGGTTTTGAAACTGTGCTCTGTGGAATCCTAGCAGGTGCCTCTGGGACCACCCCAAGAGCAAGGTGAGGGGTAAAGGAAGTGAGAGGTCAAGGTAGTTGATTTTTGGGGGTCCTCACCACTCCTTTAATCCATGCAGTTTCACTTTTATTGGTTTTGAATATGGAGTATACAAGAAAGATTTTTGTTTAAAGACTGGTTACTTCGGCTAAAAGAAACAACAGTAATAGTAGTAATAATCAAATTTGAATACTGTTGGTTTTGACACAAAGCTATTGGATGGGAAAGAGGGCTTTCTAATTAAAAGTGTATTTTAAGTGTCAGGTGATGTAGTAGGCCAGGTACGAGGAGAAAGAGAGGAAGATGAGAATGAACAGAAGATGCTCACTTAGAAGGACAGTCCCTACTGATTTCACCATAACTTGCAGTGTACATCTGCCGTTAAAACCAAAAAACCCAGACCCGTTGTCAATTCCGACTCACAGCATCCCTACAGGTCAGAGTGGGGTTTCCAAGGCTCTAACCTTTACGGAAGCCAACTGGGGACATCTTTCTCCTGCGGAGGGGCTGGTGGGTTCAGACTGCCAACCTTTTGTCTAGCAGCTGAGCATTTAACCACTGTGCCATCAGGGCTCCTACATCTCAGGGCTCCTATATCTGCTATTCCCAAAACCAGCCAAACCCACTGCCATTGAGTTGATTTCAACTCATAGTGGCCCAGTACGACAGAGTAGAACTACCCCATAAGGTTTCCAAGGCTGTAAATCTTTACTGAAGCAGACTGCTGCATCTTTCTTTCGAGGAGCAGCTGGTGGGTTTGAACTGCCAACCTTTCAGTTAGCAGCCAAGTGCTTAACCACTGAGCCACCAGGGCTCCTCATCTGCCATTAGCCAACATTAAATGATCAGTGGTATCGAACTGTTGGGAAAGCCGGCCTGGGAAAGTGAGGGACAAGGGCTGCAAAGCCAGTGCTTCTATCTCAGACAGAAGTCCTGACACCCATCCCCAAAGAAAGGCAGAGATGCTTAATGGCCAAGCTGAAAAGGCTTTTAAAGATCATCATTCCAACTACCTCACTTGACAGGTAAGGAATTGAGACTCAGAGAATGGAAGATATTTGCCAGGTTACACAGAGTCGTTGACAAAACTCTCGGGCAGCAATTCAGCATGCTTTCTGCAGAGGTTAAGAGCTTGGCTGCTAACCAAAAGGTCGGCAGTTCGAATCCACCAGCCACTCCTTGGAAACCCTATGGGGCAATTCTACTCTGTCCTATAGTGTTGCTATGAGTTGGAATCAACTCGACAGCAACAGGTATGTTTAATGCTAAAATTATAAATAAATAAATAAATCTCTCTTTTAACTTAGCATGATGCTGGGAACTCCTACATAATAATTAATAATAAATAAAGTCTACCAAATCTCTATGACAGGCTGCTAAGGTCTATATATGCATTCAATTCATTTAATGAATATAATACTTCTGCAATGGTGACATTAAGTTCCTCGTTTAACAGATGAGAAGATGGAAATTGAAGGAGGTAAAGAGACTGGTCCAAGGTCAACAGGTTGATAAACGGATTTTAGATCCATCAGATCCTGGGATTCACTGTCCTCTATGCTAACTCTGTAGTACCTTCCCTTGCCCCACCAACGCCACCAAAGATCTGGACAACACTATCTGCCTGGGAGGTATTGCAAGTTTTAGTTGGACGCTTGGAAAGTTCCTACCAAGAAGTTTCTAGACTTACTCTGGTAACCCCAGGAATTAGCTAAGCAGATTTTCTCTGGACCTAATTATCTTTATACTCACCGTTCCCCATCTCCCATCCTCATTTTTTCTGGAATATACCCTGTGTCCTTGGCACAGACAAAGTTATTGGATGGTGAAGAGAACCTTCTAATTAAGAGTGTATTTTCTGTGTAGGATGATGTATGAGGCCAGGTGGGAAGAGAAAGAGAGGGAGATGGGAATGAATAAAAGATGTTCATTTAGAAGGACAGCCCCTACTTTCAACTGGAGAATCTTTGTGGTCACCATAACTTTGAATTTGCATCTGCCATTAGTGCTCGTCAAATGAGCATGGAGAGCATCCAGAAAAATTGATGGAGGAGGCCCACACAGTCTGTTCTCCTTTGTGGGCACTGGGGCCTTAGAATTTGTGCAAATGTCTCTGTTAGCAGCTGACATAGCTGGCAGTTTTGGCTGGGCAGCCAAGCCTGCCCACACTGCTCCTCCCACTCCCTGGACAACAGTCCTCCAGGCAATGGTCAGAGCCTCCTCCCACAGTTATTCTGCTATTACTGGCTGGGAGACCTTGGCCAAGTACCAAGTACTTGCTCTTGGTTCTCTATCTGGTAAGAGAGGGGACTGAATAAGGTCTCCCTTACATGCTCTGTCCAAGTTTGCTTTTCTGTGATTCCAGGTGTTCCAATGGCTAATGCACAAACCACCTCTTTCAAGAAGCTCTTCCTGATAGCCCTGTGAGAAGTGACCAGTCTCTCCTCTGAACTTGTTTAACTTTTAGGAAACTTGACACTTGCTCTCTGGTTTTTGAGGTGTCTGTGTTCTTGCTGGAGCCCTGGTGGCGATGATTAAGTGTGTGGCTGCTAACTGAAAGGTGGGTGGTTCAAATCCACCAGCTGCTCGGCAAGAGAAAGGTGTGGAAGTCTGCTTCTGTAAAGATTTACAGCCTTGGAAACCCTATGGGCAGTTCTGCTCTGTAAAATCAACACAATGACAGTGAGCTTGGTTTGGGGTTTTGTGTTCTTGCTGTCATCTCCTCCCTACTTGACTGGCATTCAGTAAGTGTCAAATGAACGAACTCATTACTGATTCTAAATGGAATGGGAAAAGAGAAAAGGTAGGGACTTTGAGGACAAACAGAATCAAAGGCACTAATTTATGTATCCATGGCTAAAGGACAGAGAAAATCAGAGGGCAGAGTGTGTTTGTTCTTGGTAGGGTAGAAAGAGCAGGATCTTTGTACTTGCAATGATCTGCTTTAGAATCCTAACTACAGCAATTATTAGTGGTATGGCTGGGGCGAAGCCATTCTATCTCTGTAGATTTTAATTCCTCATCTGTATCTCTCAGGGATATTGTTGTACTTAAAAGGCATAGGGGATATACCATCTTTGGCATATGGTGGCTGCCCAAATGGAAGTTCATTTCTAAGATACTAAAAGGTCCAAGAGTGATGTCAAGGATGAAAAGTAGGAAATGACTAAAAACAAAATACAGAAATGTCAAAGAGAGAAAATACCCTGAAGCCATCTTGCCTGATGTATCAAGAACAAGTGTAATGAAACCTCAAAAAAACACAAGTCTTCCTCAAACCCACTAGCAAACTCTGCTTAGAAATCGTAAATCCCTGTCAGCTTAGCTGGTATTAGGAGACTACATGTTAAAAGCTGCCTCCCCACTGACTCTCCAAAGCCACAGATCTGACCTCTGATTTGGAGTAAGTTGCCCCAGATGTATGTGTTGCTGCCTGCTAGGGGAATCAACAAGAGCAAAGGCTCCTGGAGCCCCCACTCTCTGGGCCCTCTACCTCTCAGCTCACCTTCTCTTCCTCTTTGGACTAACTGCCCAAGCAACTGCCTCCCCCATAAGAAGAAAATGAAGGTCTTCTAATGAGAAAATTAACATTTGAAACAGGATCTTTTTTCCCTTTCTCTACTTTTCTCTCTCACTCTATAGGTTTTTATTTTGCCAGGGGCTCCCAGTCCCTGGTTTTCCTGTTGCCTTTGGAAGGCGGCTGGCTGGATTAGCAAGGTAAAATGTTTACACATCTGCAGGGTGCTCCCATTTCAGTACCTTGGTGGGCCTGGGGCTCAGGCTCAGGCCACCTCTGTTTGCACTGGAGATAGGAGGGGAAGGAGTTAGAACGGCAAGGTTTTGTGGCACAGGGCTGAAGAGTAAGGGATGGCTTTGCCCCAGGAGTTACAGAGGAAGGGCAAAGAGAGGGTTTTCAGCCGAACCAAAGAGGAAACACATTAAGGGAAATGGGAGTCTTGAAGCAATGACTTTAGAAGTTCAAAGGGAAATATTTACCTGGACTGTAAATGGCGAAAGGAAATCACTGAGCTTCAATAAGGATGAGGGGGAATAGCAGTGGTGATGGGGATGTATTTCTGCATGAAAATAACTTCATCAACACTAGTCACATTTCAGGGCACTGGAAGGGAAGTCAATGTACCATAAGCCCTAAACTGGGGATTCCCCAGTTTCAAGTTTAGCTTGCAGGAGATCTTGCCTTGAACAAGTCACAAACACACACATACATTTTATGCTGCTGGGCATCACTTTCCTTCTCTGTAAAAGGAGAGGTTGGAGTAAATGATGCCGTCCTAGAATTTAAGAGCTCTTTTGTTCACTGTTAGAATGGCTCCTTGTAAACAGGAAGTGCTCAAAAAGATGTGTTGATTTGAATTGAATCCCTCGCGTCCCTTCCAATTCTTCCATGCTTAGATTCCCTCTCCTCTTGTGTATCTCCACACAGGACTTGAGAGTTTTCTCTAGGGTACACAGGAGTCCCTGCACACTTCTACTGTGCTTCTCCCCACTGTTCTCCAGTAGGACAGAGAGATACTAAAAGCAACAGTGGGGGAAACAGTTGGGGGGAGGGGTCTGAAGTCAGCAGCATCTGTGTGGGACTAGAGGATGCTTCCAGGGGCCATGTCCACATGTGGCAAGATGGAAGGCTGCAAGCAATTGTGTACATGAGTTACATATACTTAGCACAAGTCTGTCTCAATCCTATAAGCACACAGAACCAGACACTGTGAGTGTACAAGAGCCCTTTTACAAGTCAATGAGGTGTCTGGGCACCCTGCACAGATGGAAGCGTTGAGGCCCAGACCATGAAAGAGGCATTGGAAAGCTGGCACTCGAGCC